CAGGGTGCTTTAACGAACCAGCTCTCACAGGAACTGGTAGAGCGAGAACTCACTCACCACCCCTCCTCCCTCAGCGAAATTTTCTGTATTAAGTCCATTTTTGTTACTTATAACAAAATACCCGGAACTGGGTGATTTATAAAGAAAAACGATATTTATTCCTTAAACTTTCTGAGGCCGGGAAGTCCAAAGTCCATCTGGTGGTGGTGACAGTGACCCAGGGGCCTCACATTGCAAGATGGTGTAAGCAGAGAGGGAGAGTGAGACTGTCCTCTTCTTTTAATGACCTCAGAACCACGATCCTGACCACCATTTTTAATCCATTCACTATATCACGGCCCTACAATCTAATCACCTCTTCAAGGCCCCACCTTTCAATTACTGTAATAGGATCTCTCACCCCCTTAAGAGTCACAGTGGGGGCTAAGTTTCTAATACATAAAACTTGGGGAACACAATTCAAGCTTCAATGAGTTTGGGGGGACATAATTCAATCCACTACACTGGGTAATTTATAAAAAACAAGAGATTTATTTCTTATAGTTCTGGAGGCTGGGCGGTCCAAGGTCAAGGGGCCCACATCTGGTGAGAGCTTTCTTGATGCATCATCCCTTGGTGGAAAGCAGAGGGCAAGAGATCCAACTAACAGCCCAAGCACTTTTATAAATGGCTTTAAGCCATTCATGAGGGTGGAACCCTCAAGACATAAACACTTCCCATTAAGCCCCGCCTCCCAACACTGCTGCGCTGGGGATTAGGTTTCCAACACATGCTTTTGGGGGGACATTTTCAAACCACAGCAGAGACAGAAAGTAAATTAGTGGTTGCGGAAGTGAGGAGGAGAATTAGGACTGACTGCTAATGGGTTGTGTTTCTTTTTGGGGTGAAAAAATGTTTTAAACTTAGACTGTAGTGATGGTTACACAACTCTGTGAAATACTAAAAACCACTGAATTGTATACTTTAAATGGATGAATTTTATGGCGCATAAATTTCAATAAAGATGTTAACAAAAAGAATAGATCCCTTTTGGGTATGATACCATCTATAAGATTCTTTCCTTTTGTATGTTTGAGATTTCCAAAATAAAAGAATATACACTTTATGGCATCCATCAAGATGATCATATATCTTTTCTCCTCTCACTGATTAATGTGCTAAGTTACATTAATAGATTGCCTAGTTTTGAAGTGTACTTGCATACCTGAAATAGACCTCCCTTTTTGGTCATAATATATTGGCCTTTTAATGCACTGAAAAATCAACTTGCTAATATTTTATTTAGGATTTCTGCATTCATATTGGTAAGAGATATAGGTTTGTTGTTTTTCATGCTTTGTCAATGTGGCAATGCTGCTGGTTTTCAGTTTTCCCTTTCTTCTAAAACCTTTTAAGTTAGGCAATGACTACACAGAACAAATACTATCTATGTTTCTTTGCAGCTATGTGTGGCCACGTAAATTCTTGATATGGGCAGAAGTGTCCCAGGGCAGCTTCTGGGAACCTTGTTTAGTAGAGAGCTGGCACCTGGCATTTGCCCCGTTTTTTGCTTTCATCCCATCTCCCATCCTGCTGCCCAATGCAGATGTGATGGCTGAAACTAGCTGCTACTATCCTAGTCCATGAAGACAAGGGCCATACCCTAAAAAGGTGGCACAGTGAGCTGGAAGTAGTCTGGGTGGCTAAGGAATTCATGGCTGTAAGCTGCCATCCCAACTCTGTACTGCTTACCTGTGGGCTTTTATGTTAGTCTTGTTTAAGCCACTCTTACTTTGGGTCACCCTTACTCACAGATAAATCTAATCCCAAAGGATAGGTCAGGTTTGGTATTAGGACTATGCCAGTTTCATAAAATAAATAGGGAGGCTTTTCATCTTTATATGAATTTTCCAGTTTTTGCTTTTATGTCAGTTAATTCTTGTTTTTCTCATTATTCTTTCCTCTTTATTTTCTTGTTTTTCTAGACTCTGGTGCAATAACAAAAACTTTCAAGGACATGAAATTTCCTCTGATTGCAGAACTGGCTTTATTACAATGCTTTTGCTATATAGTATACTCATTTGCATTAAATTTAAAAGTTTGGTTTCCTCTTTGAAGAATGTTATAAAATTTGCAAGTGGTTGCATTAAATTTGATTTCCCTTTTGGTATTAATATATATTTTATTGCACTATAGTAGAGTATGTGGCTTGGGCAATTCCTACTTATTAAAATTTGAGGATGTTTTTTGTGGCAAGAATATATAATGGATTTTTGCAACATTTCCATGGATTAAAAAAAGATACGTATTTGTTATAAGATGTAAAGGGACATGGTGGTGAAAATATATTCATTTCTTAAACTTATGGTTTTTATGTATCAAATTTTGAATTTGACTTTTGACTTTGGGTTTTCTAAATACATGCTGATGTTGAAAATGGTTTTAAAAGAAAAATGAATATTTAAGATTTTAGTTTTTTGCTCTTTCCTACCCCTTGCCACAGCTATGCTTGAGAGTATCCTTTTCTTGGTGTATATGCTGCAGTGTGTCTGGGCCGCTGTCCCAGCCTCCCCAGGCCGTCCCATTCCTTTCACTTAAGACCCAGAGGTTGTGGACAAGAGCCTGGCAAATGGATTCCTTTTCCTTGAGTACAGTTCCCTCATCTGGAAAATGGGGATAATAGTTCCTTCCTCATAGCGTTGCTACAACAATGAAATAACACAGGAACAGCACTTAGAACAGGGCCTACTCCAGAATAATAACTAATGTTCACAGAGCTATTACTAATCCTCACTAGACCAAAATCCATAGCTGGTATCTATTAACACATCAGCAATTTAAATAAAAAACCACAGTTGAGCTCCCCTGAGCAGAAGCCATGTGGACCACATCCCTCTGGGAGGGAGGTGTTAGCCTCACTGGAAGTGGTACTCCCTGCAAGTTTTGAGGCTATCGGGACTGGCACTAGACAGCTGCACAGTCCCATTAGCACACACCCTGCCCTCCTGCTGTGACTCTCCTCTCAAAACACAGGATGAAAGTGTAGATCTCTGTTGTCATAACAATTTACTCTTGGTACTAAGTTGTCACTTCTCTCTGGGAAAGCCATGACTTACCCTTTTCAATCACTGGGACAGTGAAAGCCGCCCAGTGTCCTTCTGCCCTAGTCAGAGAAATTTAGTCAGGCAGGGCTGGGCTGGCCAGCTTGAGCAGCAAAGTTGGTGCCAATGAGTGCGGGGTCACACCCTAGCCTGGAGCTTGACCTCAGGCTGAGTCTCTTGAAGCCACGTCTTGGCTCAGAGGATGGTCAGGAAGATTAAATGAGCCAGTTATCTGTCCAACTCAGAGCACCTCAGGCTCCACATGAGGCTGAGTGACAACAGCGAGGCCCGGGGATTCCTTCCATCACCAGCTCCTGGGCCAGGTGGGCTGTCTAACCTAGACCCCAACCACGCTCTGCTGCAACGAACCCGCCACAGGACTGGCCTTCTCCCGCCATCCCCCAGGGACTGCCTTCCCACACATGCTCCACTGGGACACAGGTGCAGCAAGCCCTCCCAGTCGCGGGCTACCGGTCTTAGCCACGTGACCAGGCCTAGCTGCATAAGAGCCTCAGAAATTAGTGCTGAGGCAGGGACCACAGGGGTACAGAAAAATATTTCTGAAAAGAAAGGGGGAATCAGAAAGTGACTGGCAGACCACTGGCAATCTGCTACAGCTGTCCAGTCAGTTAGCATGTGGAGGTAATCTTGTCAGAGTGAGCAAGACTGAAGCCACGTTGGGACCTAAAACAGCCTGGGCTGTGGGAAGATTTTTAAAAGACAGTTTTTGGTTTTTTTCCCCCCTTCCTTTCTTTCCATCTCCTGACTTTCTTATCTTGCTTGCCGAGTGGAAAACAAGACTGTTAAAAGCTAATCAGTATCTTGCAAGACTAACAGTTCTTCTTTGAGGCTTGCAGAATTCCAAGAAGTGATCAAGGCCAGCCAGAGCCCTGCAGAGCTACACAGACTTTGCAGAGCTGATGCCACCCTGAAGCAAATCAAAATCTGGCAGGACCCTAAGACAGAAACCAGACAGAGCCTTGGCAAAACTTTTTACCTAGCTCCTTGCAAGAAGCCCCTACAGCTCACTGCCCCCTCCCTCCTGCTTTCCACTTCCAGCTTCTTACCCCATAAAACCCCCGGGTAAAACTGAGCCTGGGAGCCAGTTTTAGCCTGGCTGTCTCCTCAGGCCTGAATGAAGCTTCCTATTTTGCACCAACATTTGGGACTTATGAATCAACTGTTTCTGAGCACAGAGCAGCCAAACTTGGGGGCCAGTAACAATCTCAGTCCCCCAGTTTTATAAAGGGTAATTCAGACTCAGATGCAGGAATTATGACAAGGACAGAAACTGACTGGAAGTTTCCCCTTGCCCAACAAGCTGTCTGAGCAGGTGAGTTTGTGACCGACACCAACGTGGCTGAGATTAGAGCCAGGCCCCATTTCTGCTGGGGTAATCCCAGAGCTAAGAATCAAAATGTGTTCTTGCAAAACAGGCATTTCCAAAATAACTTATTATTTTAGATTTCACCATTCACAGCCTCTTTCCTTCATTTCTCCTTCCTTTCCTCACCTCTTGCTCTAATTGGAGAACTTGACAACTATGAGCCTCCAACAATGGACACCCCCAAAGCCAGCCAGCACGATATCAGCAGGGTTGCTGTCCAAGACAGCCAAACATTTAAGTTTTGCTTAATAACCAGTTACAAAGATGTCAGACCAAGAAGTGGAAGGAAATGGCCAGCTTGAGTCTCTTATCTGGGCCACTCAGGGTTAAATGAAATGTTAAAAGTGGCAGGGGCTGGCTGGCAGCTCTTCAGGTAGTAATTATCCTCTAAGGAGAACACTCATCATATTTATATCCATAAAGTCAGTTTACTAAAGAAATTATACAGAAATATATATCCCAAACCTTTTCTCAAAATTGTCATCTACCTTTTTTTATTCATTAAATATTTTTATTTCATTAAAAATTACTTCTTCCTTAAAAATGCCCAGGAAGTATGGCCTCTTTATTTTCTGCTACTTGTTTTAAACACATCATCAAGGACAGGTAATTATTAATGTCATGTGAGCACAAAAGGACACTTGGTATATATACCAGAAATGTATTCTCTGAGAACCAACTTTCAAGTGACTCAGATAATAAGCTTTATCAGTTTCACTAGTGAAGCCCTAGGATAAAACAGTGCCTAAATCAGGTTTGTTCACCCTCAGCATCACATGTCACCAAATGTCATGATGGGACAACGTACATAGAGCCTGCCTTGCCCAGGCCTAGCCAGAAGGAGCAGCTATGAAGAAGTCCAGTTAGTGTGCACAGCAGCATGTCTTATTTGGAGGTCTCATTAATTGTGGGCCAACAAAACAATGGCAGGATTTGAAGGAGGAATGTATCACCACGGACTCGACATACGCTGTGAGCCACGATGGGAGGCGGAGGGAAGACACTGGCTCAAAACCAGGTCACACGGGTAGATTAGAGACAGGCAAACTCATCAAGTCAGGGTCATTTTCCTGGGACCACCCCGTGGAGAGGGGCCTTCATCCACGCACCCTGGGCACTGATCTGGCATTCAGAATCCACCCATTAACAACAGGAACAAACATACATTTTTCCCCCCTGACATAAGTTTGCATTTAAATATATTCTGGGAATCTGGCAGCATGAGGTTTTATGCCAGTTCTTCAGGCTTCAGAAAGACTCTAGCACCAGCCATCAATACCATATCCCCTCACTCCTGTGAGAGCAAGGAATACTTTTTCCCGGTTCTCTAAAAACGTGAAGTTATAGTAAAAAAAAGTTATAAAAGAACTAGAGAATAGAGTAGGAGAAAAAAGCTCCACATTTCCTGCAGTTGCCACTTGCACTCCTCTGTGGTGGGTATCTACAACAAACTTCATAAGCAATGAGTACACCTGCAGCCGTACTGGATGTCCCCTGGCCACAGACCCTCTGCTGTCGGGAGTCTTGGCCACATCCATTAGCAAGCTGGAGAGAGGTTCCTATTGTCCCTATGATCTCACTTTCCAGCAAAGCTCAAACTGCTGTTACAACTGCTTTACTGAATCTAGAAAGGAACAGGTGAGTCAGGAGCCATAGGAAGTGTTTCCAGTGAAATGATCTTGCAAACAGCAGTAAGCAATCCTGTTGAATTTCAAATAAAAGGTCTGATTAGAGTACCTGTTGGAAGTAGGAGCCTTGAGGAAATGAGGAAGAGTAACTATAATTTGAAGAGTCAGATTCATTTCTGATACAGAATAATCACAAAAACAAGTATGTGCTGCCGGCTTTGGCTCCCTGTAAAAGTCAGAGAACCAGCTGGATTTCCACATGGCCACTCCCATGCTCTGTACTTCTCTCCTTGTGGCCTATGTCCTGCAAAGCTTCAGTGGGAAGTTCTCCGTGATGAGGTGATCAGCATGAAAAAGCACAACGATGTTTACCTCGAATTCTGAGGAGAGGAGAGAGAGGGTTTATGCCCATGCACCGAGCAGCGGAAACCAACGCCAACCCCACTAAGGTGCAGCGAGCTCTGGGAGTGAGGGAGCACCCAGGCGCTATTTGGGTTTCTGCATTTATGTCCCATGCAAATGACACCCTGATCTTTCAGCAAAACCCGTGATGATAACTATACCAATGTCTGACTACCTTTGCAAATTTTCTCTAAGTAAATGTCTTCTCACCTTGTGAAAGTAAGTCATCGGGGTACCCCAACCACACTTTCCTTGTCTTTTTTCTTTACTAAAGAGGATATTCTAGAATCCTTTCAATTTGTTTGTATTCTTTTATTTTTACATGTCCTACAGTTCTTAATGGAACATCAGACTCCCAACTGACCTGCAGCTGTCTGGGTACATCTCCTATCCCCAAGTGAGAAACAGTCTTCGGAAATGGCAGAGTTTAATCGTCGTTCCTTTGGGTGCCACTTGATTTATCTGAAACACCTGTTTCCACATTCATCTCTCCCTTTCAGCATACAGGATTCTTCCCACCAGCAACTTTAGGTGCTATGGGTAAGCCTTGCTGATTGCAATGAAAGGGGCGTGTGTGAAGAGAGAGCTCCGTGAAGAAACATATGCCCCATGTCCTTCCCCAGTGTCACAGGGAGGTAGGAAGGGCACGCCGTGTGGGCAGAGAAGCAGGCAGTGACAGACGAGAGCACTGAGCACCACCGCAACAAGCTCAGCTTTTGGAGGGGCTTTGACTGGGATGACAGCAACATTCTCATGTGGGGTTGTCTGCTTCTGCCTGTACATCAGCCATGACAGAGTCCTGCACCAGCAGCGCCTGACCTCTTTCTTTCCTGGCCCTGAGAATCATGACTACCCTAAAACTGCCCTTGGGGCCCTCCTGCCACCATTATCTTCAACTGTTCCTCCACCCATGTGCCCCATGGAAGGGAGGACGCCTAGCATGGAAGCCCACCTTAGGCACAGGCTTTCCTTTACGGCACAACAGCTGCATCATGGCAGCCATTCTACCTGGGTGCTCCCTATATTCCAAGTGACTTCCACAGTCTCAGGCCTGACCATGCATTTGAAGTCACTTGTGGTCAGCACCAACAAAGCTGAAGGGGAACACGCAGAGATGCTGCTCTTCTCGCAGGATGCAGGGGTCACTCCCAAACTGGAGGTACCCAAGTCTTTTCCTTAATGACGTGGAGACCAGCCTCCAGGCAGGGGTGAGAAGGCAGTATAGTGCTGGGCTGGGCACAGCTGACCTCTCTCCAGACCTCTCCACAGCCAGTGGAGTAGCAACCTCAGGGCCTAAGAGAGGCTGTGGCCCCTCAATGACTGACCTGGACGTCTTCTGTACAGACCTCCTAAACTAACAGCATCTGTCATTTATCAAGTCCTACACCAAACTAAACTCAACTCAGGCATGAGGCCAAGAGTATTGCTGACACCTTGGAGGGTGGACTGGGGGCACTAACTCTACGGAAGACTCATAGGCACTGCATTAAATGTTATATGGATGCTTTATTAGATTTGCTTCCTCTGCAATATTCTGACAACTTTAATAAAAATAACATACAAAAAAATTAGGTACTTAATGGATGGCATAGCAAGAAAAATTAAATTTTGTGCCTTCCTGAAATTTATGTAGGAAAACCAAGCCAAGAAATCAATAGCCAAGATCCTCCTCCCCAACTTAAAATTCAGGTATTCCGAACTAAAATCTGTAAGCTTCCGAATGATGAGCACAGTGAGGCGCAGAGTTGAAAAAGAAAGCCTGTGTGCTGCTTGTCCTGGAGCAGCTCCAGGCGACACACTGCCCGTGCTGAGGAGGCCAGTGTGTGGGTATGGAAATGGAGAGGGATAGCACTCTGCCCTCCAGGTCCCTGGCACCTTTGGATTTTATACCATGGGCATATACTACCTGTTCAATCACAATCATAAACTCATTTTTCGAGAAAACTTGTGGTACCTTAGCTTGGATCAAGTTCAACCCTCCCAGGTGTCTTTCTGTAGACCTTGCTGTCCTTTCATGTCTCGTAGACAGCTGGGTGTGCTGCCCTCTTTGCTACTGACACAGGTCTCTATACCCCATTATGCTCTTGCTACAATGTTATGTTTCATAAAAAGGACCCAAAGAAGTCCACTAATATTAAATTGTGCTTCTCACCCAGCAAGCTAGCTGTGCCCAAGGACGCATGGTCCACAGCAAAGGCACAGGAGAGACAAAGAAGCTTGTGGTGATTTAGTGGCAGAAGCAACAAACCTTCCCTCTCCTAAAACAAACTGGGGTGACGAAACTGCACTTATATTTTGAATTACATTAACTGGAATTATTTAAAGAAAAATCAGAGTGTAATTAAAAAGAGATTCTCATGGACTGATAATGATTAAGCACATTCTAAGATTCAGGGGGAAGATGAGGCTAATGAAAACGTACCGCCTTAGGGTAAGTCCTCATTTCGCAGTGAAGCCGTGTGAGAGCAGAAGTAGTTACCAACCCCCCTTATCACATACGTGCATTTCCCAGTGATCCTCAGGCCTGCCCCAGAAGCATGTCCCAAAAAAGCCCAGGGAACCCTTTCTGTGGTCTTTCCCATCAGTCTGCAGAAAATCGCATCAGTTAGGACTGGAGTCATGCATTGTCCCTTCCTACCAGGTCTTTGTTCCACTTGTTTGTAAGGTGGGGTGATCTCCCAAGTAAACTTCATGAACATGATGATTTTTATTAGAATGGATATACCATTAAAATATTTTGCAAGAATATTTAAAACCACAGAAGTGTTCATGATATAATGTTAAGGTAAAAAAGCAGGATATAAAACTGTGTCTGTGACATGATTCAGATCTGTGGTCAAAACATTTATAGACAAATTCATGAAAAATGACCAGAGATACCCTAAGCTGGTGGAGCTCAAAGCCTTCATGATGATTAATGTTGGCTCTGGGACTCTCACATGTTCAGGGTCTCCACTCAAGTTCCACCCTATCAGAGAAGCCGACCTGACCTCTCCATGTACGCCCCTCTGTTTGCTTATTCCTTACTCCTCACAACTTAGCATCACCTCCCCCAGTCTACACTGGCATGGTGACAATCTGTGTCCCTATGTGACAAAGTAAGCTCCACAAGAGCCAGGTCTGCTCGCTGCTGTTCCCCAGTGCAGGCAGAGCAGCTTCTTAGGCGGCTGAATGCTCTGAGCTCTGTGGCCCACAGCAGACCAGGTGCTGAGGGTCCCTTGCAGGGGCCTTACCCTTCATAGGATCCCAGCAGAGCAGAGAGTGAGCAGCTTACCCACTTTGAAGTTGGTAGTCTCCAGTGTAGGGCAGGTGAACAGCCTGGGGAAGACCATGTGTATGGGGACAGAGAGGCTCCGACAGACATCCCCATCGGCAATCTGAATATTCTGAATCTCTGTGGCGTCGCGGGCATAGCCTTCTGCACATCCTGGAGGATGAAGGAAACGTCACATGTCACACAGTCGGGAAACTGCACATATGAGAACAAGTTGAGCAACACTCTGGCCCTGTGAGATGCTACATCAACACCCTCACCTATTTCTCCAGATTGCTCTGAAGGACTCTCGAGAGTTCCCTTCCCTTCCTCATCCCACTTTGCTCAGACAGACATTTACTGCCATGGAGAGACATGCTCTCTTACCCCCGCCCGCATCATCTAATGCAGCCTGCAGCCGTGAGAGGCCCTTACCGCAGGTCTCCACACGCACCAGCTGCAGCTCGATGCTGCGGACCGCGGCCTCCGAGGTCTCCACCACCAGCTCTCCTGTTAGTGGCTGCGTGATGACACAGTTAGTGGAGTCAAGATGTCCTCTGATGAGAAATTTGGGGAGCAAGGCTCTCTAAAACAAAACAAAAACAAACACAGCAGAAACAGAGGGAAAAAGGGGAGTTTATTTGATTGTTACTTCAGTACAAGAACCAAAAACACAGTGAGGTCATTATTACACAATCCATGGGGACCTTGTTTTACAAAATGGGGAAAGAGGAACAACGTGCTTATATCTTCTTTCAGCGTGGACATTAACAGATTAAACTATTTAACAACTCTATACATACACAGGGCACCTGACACCACCTGTCCAGAATGACCAGGTATCTCAGAGAATCATCCTAATTGCCTAGACTGAGATCTGGGAAGTTCTTTCTTACCATGAAATAAGATAGAAAAACATCTGCGGAAGTTGCCAAGGGTATTTAAGGATAACCACTTAAAAATATAAAGAGGTTTGGGCCGGCCTGGTGGCGCACTGCTACAGTGCGCCGCTTGGGAGCACGGCGGCGCTCCCGCCGAGGGTTCGGATCCCACATACAGACCGGTTCCCGCTCACTGGTTGAGAGGGGTGCAGGCGCAGCACCGAGGGTTGCGATCCCGTTGCCGGTCCCGGTCCGGTATGGGAGCAACACTGAGGGTTGCGATCTGTTGCCGGACACGAAAAAAGACAAAAAGGGAAAAAAAAAAAATATAAAGAGGTTTTAAACAGATAATCTATTTAAAAATGTTCCCAATTATACAATTTCAGAAAGCCAAGACACTTATTTTATTTCAAGGAAATTTAAAGAGGTTAATGCTTGATGTTAATGCTTAATGAGAAGCTTATGGAGCTTTACTCAGTAGACACAAGAAACTGACCAAGGGAACAGATGATGATCTTGTGGGAAACACAAACATAGAGTCAGACAACTGTCTCAGCCGCCTTGACCTCTGGCTGTGTCCCAATTACTGAAGGTATCAGAGTTTAGTACCCCATTGTCCAACAGAAATATAATGCAAGCCACAAATCTGAGCCACATATGCAATTTAAACTTTTCTAGTAGACACATTTTAAAAAGAAAGGTAAAATTAACTAATATATCCAGAACATTATCACTTCTACATTTCATATAATCAATATAAAAATTTATGAGTAATGTTTTATATTCTCTTTTTCATACTGAGTCTTTGAAATCTGATCAGTATTTTACACTTGCGGCTCATCTCAACTCAGACCAGGTATATCTCCAGCATCAATGGCCACGTGTGGCTGGTGGCCACTGGATTGGATGGCCCAGCTCTAGAAATGAAGAGCAAGACAGCTCTGGACCTGGGGGCCCCCAAAGGCACCGACCTCTAAAGAAGTCTGGGTTCAAGACAGAGTTTTAGAAATAATTAAAAGCTATTTGTTCAGAAAAATAAAAAGCAGTAGCAATTCATATGAGAATTCTTTTAGGTAACTGATGAAAAAAGAAAAAATTTCAAGGTCCAGCTCAAGATACTGACTAAATGCTCATTTTTCTTCTCCTCCCACTGACATGATATTAACATACACAGGTAAAAACAAACCTACACTGTTTTCTGAGTCTGCTCTCCAGCCCTCCTGTGATTTCTGTAATCTATCTCATACCCTTCTAATAAATCCCTTTCCTACTTAAAAAACAAAACAAAATAAAAACCACCAGTGGTATTTTGTGAGTAAGCAATTTTATTGTATTTGCTTTACGAGTTATTTTTTCATTTTCCAACAATCAACACGAATGGTTCTATCATATTAAAAGTCCTTTCCATTTATAAATAAATAAACACACACACTCACATCTAGGAAAGCCATAAGCTGTAAGGGATAGTCCCCACTGGGGACTATCCCAGTGAAGCACTTCTGTCAGATGAAAAGGGGATTGACAGTGAAGCTCCAGAGTTCAGGGGAAACACCCCCCCAGCTAGCAGAGAGAACCATGAGGGAGTGTGCCCAGTGTGGCTGTGTCCTCTACCCATGATCAGAGGCAGGGGGCCTAGGGAAGGGGCAGTGGGGGTACCACTGGGTAACTCATCAGGAGGTAGTGACACTGCAAAAGGTTAGTGCCACAGTCTCCCTCAAAGGGCACTTCCCACCCTGAAGACTGAAAGCAGCTGTGGGCCAAGGCAGGGTAGGTGTCCCGAGTCATTTATGGCCACAGTGCAGGACAGCGAGCCCCTGGACCCAGAAGACAAGCCACCTGCACACACCTCTCTCCCCTGTGCAACACGCAGGGGCTCCTCTGGGCTCCTCTGGTTATGTGTGTCATAATCAGGAGACAGACTCTCACCTGGGCTAAGGATAGTCTCATTAACAATACCAGGCACACTAGATCCTCATCTGTAAATATAAACTGACAACCAAGAATCAATAAACATTTGAGGAAATAAAAGTGAGAAAAAGAGGCACACACTCAAAAAACAGAAGAAACAGCCCCCAAGAAACAGAGTTGATACAGGAAACAAATGAAAGGACACTGTACCTGCAATGAAGGAAGAGGCTATCTTGAAGAAGAAATAGTGCTTAGGAGTGAATTACATGATTGTTGAAGTAAATACTTAAACAGATGGCTAAATAGACGGGGGAGAGAAATTGGACTGGCTGCTGGGGTCACATGCTCTCAGAGACGGGGGAAGGGAGAGATGAGGAATAGATGGGAGTGGCTGTTTCCTTCCTAAACCTTCTGAAAGGCTCCCTACGATACACCCCTGCCTCAGTTGTACCTCATGAGGGACGAGGCCAATCATCACCCCTGTACCCCAATCCTCCCAAACTTGCCCTTAACCTGCTTCTAATTAGTATGGTCTAGTGGGCAAAATGCAGAAATAGAGAAAGGAAGAAAAGTTATGTCCAGAAAGAACTGCAGAGTTTCACTGCTTTCTTTGAGACAGATATCATTCAAAAACATCTGGAGAAAATTTATGGCAACAGATGAGAGTACCAGTTCAAGGAGGCCACACACAGTTTCGGCCTGGGCCAAATTAACAGCTCAGTCCACACAGCTTGGTCAGCTAGGCTTGACCAGGGGCTGCCATCAAGAGCCAGACTGCCCTGGTCCCGACGTAGGAGGTGGGGAAGGCCAATGCCGAGGGCTTCTGGGTCCTTGCCACCTCTGCCTCTGCCACAGGGAATCCACTGCTGAAGGAAACCACCAGAACCTTCAAAAAGCACTTTGCTGACCGTCCTCTGTCAGACAGGAATGCTGGTGAGAGAAACTGCAAACTAAACTTCAGCAGAGGATGACAAGAGGCCTGGAGGCTGGGCACAGGCCTTGGAGGACTACGAGAAATAATGGGCGCAGCTACTGTGACAGGCAGCAGTGGCCTCGGCCCACGGTGCAGACAGTAAAAATTAATACATGCACACCTCCCTGAGGAACTTTAAAAAAGAGTTCTTCTCCTAAGTAATTAATTACTGAGTTCAAAGAGAAATCAAATCAAAAAAACACACTAATTTGGGTACAGACAATAATCAGGAATTTCTTCTCGCTGATGACTGGACACCCACATGTGAACATCTAGGCAATGGCTGCTTGGGGGTTCTGGCTACTAGGAAAATACTCGTGGCATTTGAGAGTGAGGGACGTGTTACCTCTTTGACATTCTGTAAGGTTTCAGGTGTGATGGTGAAGTCCACAGGACTTGGAGTCCACTTCCCCTTCTGAGGCTAAAACAGGAGGTAAAACCATAATCAGTAGGGTGAGGGCCAAGAACTACGCAGGTCAACAGGCTGTCCCCTTTTAAAAAACGAATGGTGGCATAACCAACCAGGGGACTTGGTGCTAAGAGGAGGATACCCAGCTTCCAAACACAGTTCTGCCAAAAAACAATGTTGTGCTCTTTGTCAAATCTCTCTATCCCCTTGGGACTCAGCTTCCTTATCTGTAAAAGGAGGGCATAGACATCTCAATCTCTAAGGTCTCTAACAGGCTCCGAAATTTAAAATTAGATCTAAGAAACATAGTGATAGTATTGGGAGGAATTTACTTTAAACCTTTCATAACAAGAGCTAACCCTGGAGTTGGCACAATGTCCCCATGAAGTGCTATTCACACCCACAGCTGGTCCCCATGTCACAGATGAGGAAACGTGAGGCAGAGCTAAGAATCAAAGCCAGGTAGTGTGGCCAGTGCCATTAGCCATTGAGCTTTACAGCTATGTCTCTGGAAGAATCACACCTATAAAATAATGAATTACAACTGTTACCATAATTAATTAGCAATGAGCATCTCTGTATGACATAATTCAAAAACCCATCAACACAGCCAAGCTTCATTACCATCTGTCTGGCATTTTTTACCCAGGCGCCAGGATCCAAAAGGCCACTGACGTCCAGCGAGCCGGGTGAAGGAAGGGCATGAACTCATGTGCCACGTTCACTTATTTACCAAAAGCTTATTCCAAGGAATATTCTTCCTGAATATATTGTTTTAATTAATAGATTCATGAACATACTCTTTAAGTGAATATATTCTTCCTTGCAGAGTTTAAAGGCATATTTAACAGGTAAACTACAGGCCACAGCGTACTTTAGCCTTGCTGTGAAACCATTCACCATGAACATAATTTTTGAAGGCCACATGGTGATTACCAGCCCAGGAGCAGGGAAGGGAGTGCCAAGGAAGGCCCTACCATTGCTGCCACCCTGAAGCAGCTCTTGTGGTCATGAGTGGGCCATGGCGGGCAGCACTGGGCAAGGTGCTGAGTTTGGGCTCATTCTTCTCTACAAAATTTAAGACTCTCTTATGTCATGAAGACATAAAAAGATATGTGTCTTTCTTAGGAAATAATCTACATTAAAACATTTTATTTTGCTTCAATTTGAAGATCCTTGTTGGAGAAAAGGAAAATACCCAACTAAACCACATAACTTCCAAAAATACTTTGATCATATTTTATATACATTTACACATTTTATCACTAAAAGAGACTTGAGCACTATAATTAAGAAAAATTTAACAAGAGGAACTACAAATGTTGGATGCCCTAAAAAGTTACAAAATTAAAAGTTATACAACTAGGGCCAGCCCCGTGGCACACTCGGGAGTGTGTGGTGCTGGGAGCGCAGCGGTGCTCCCGCCACAGCTTCGGATCCTATATAGGGATGGCCGGTGTGCTCACTGGCTGAGTACGGTGCAGGCGACACCAAGCCGAGGGTTGCGATCCCCTTACCGGTCAAAAAAAAGTTATACAACTAAAGGACACCAGTGATTTTGCCAAATATTATGCACAGGAGATTTGTTTTACATTTCTAGTCACTACTTAAAGGTACCCACGGACAGTTTGCAATAGTGGAAAAGAACTCCAAGTGCAAAGTTTCTACAAAAGATAAACAGTCTCATAATACACTGCTGTGAAGCGCCTGTTTATTAAGGCATGTGGTGAAGACTGTGGAACACAGGGGGGTCCCAGATGTGGAGAAGCTGCAGGCTGCACTGGGAAACCAGTCAAGCGAAGCGCTGCTTGTGCGGTCCTGGGTGGCATCTGCACACTCATGGAGCAGGGAGCTCTTCTTGCTCTGGTAGGTCCTCAGGGGCATGTTCCCACGTCCACCCAGCTGCATGCTCTGACGCTGCTCATAGGCACCACATCAACACTCCAGGGGCACCTGGGCTCCTTCAGGAACCTAGCGATTTGCTAACTCTGTCCCTGAAGCGCTCAGAATCAAACCAAAGCCAGGTGTACTAATCTGCTGAGTCCAGGCAGCTGTTCAAGGGAGGGAACTAGGCCACAGTTGGCCCTAGGAAAGAGAGGGGAGAACAGGCCCTTAACCTGCAGCATGAGCATTGCAGCACAGGGAATGAAGGACCAAGGCATGGCAACTTCCATGTGAAGGACTAGAGAGGCCCTCGAGATAACCAAGAGAGTCCAGTGCTGTGGGCATGAGGACCCGTCACCATATGTCACACCTAAGGCAGGTTCTGACAGTCACTGCTAGATTCTAGTGACCAAGGAATAGCAGCACCATATAAGCTGTGGAAGACCTGCCATGAATTCACCCAGAGTCAACTGTCACAGTGGTGGAGGGGGTTACAATTCCCTAAGTTAGCATGTGAAAGGAATTTTTAAAGAACATTTGTTATTGCAAAATATTAGCAGGTGTTAGGAGAAGCAACCCACCACTGCCCTGGCTATCCCTGTATGTTCTTACTGGGTATGCAAAGATGCAAGGCCTTGGCCATTTTCTACCAGGGCCATTTCTCCAAGCTATGTTTGCCATAGCAACCTTGAAGGATGAGGTGATGTCTCCCTCTGGGACAAAGAGCAGGCTTGCTTACTGCTTGCTCTAAAAGTGGTGGGTTCCCAGGCTTGGTGTTCCTCAGCAGAGGCAGGTGAGTGTCTATTTGGACCCACAGTATCACCTCTGAGACTCAGGGCTGACAGGAATAAGGCACATGCTGATCCTCAGGCATCAGGCTGTCTCTGACTCAGTGGTCTTGTGTCTTTTGCCAATATCCATGATATGGTAAGAGGCTAACTTACTAGCCTGTCAACAGGGTAAAACCCCAGATCCCACAGGAGATTCCTATCATTAATCACCAGAGCCCCAAGTAAAGCTTACAGTTGAGTGAACGATGAATTCACAGGTCTTTGTCAAGTCCTTGGCCAACAGAGACCGCCTCATATCACAGCGCAGTGTATACTACAGGGAAAAGTTGGAGAAGAAAATGTCATTTTAGTGGCATTGGTTTTCATCTTGGAATTATACTCAAAGAGACAAGTAAGTCAATGTATTTTTGAGAAACTGTCAATTAATGTATCAAATGAAATTAATATACATAATAGGAGGAGTCAGCATTCAAAATAAAGACACTTCTATAAAAAAGCAAAAATCAAAAAGCATTTTAAGGTTATTTTTCAACCTATTCCCACAGCCATCCCGCAGTTGGACCCACTGGAAAACAGGTGCATAGCCCTAACTATAACACAGGGAAAAACCAGAGTGGGACCAGAAAGAGCAATGCACTTAGGAGCAGAAGCTGGTGCAAATCCAATCATGTCTTACTGGGTGAGCCCAGACAGTAATACAAATCCTCTGAGCTATGGCTTCCCCCTCTGCAAAAAGGGGATATTAATACCTACCTGCAGTGAGAATCGAATGACATCATGTGTGATAAGCTTAGTGCAGGGCCTGGCTCATCACAGTGCTTAGATGAATGGCAGCATCTTAGGTGAAGCTTTTGTAGTAAGGTTAGAAAACCTGTTTAGTGGGCCGGCCTGGTGGCGCACTGCTACAGTGCGCCGCTTGGGAGCGCGGCAGCGCTCCTGCCAAGGGTTCGGATCCCACATACAGACCGGTTCACACTCACTGGCTGAGTGAGGTGCGGGTGCAGCACTGAGGGTTGCGATCCCGTTGCCGGTCCCGGTCCGGTACGGGCGCGACACTGAGGGTTGCGATCCGTTGCCGGACACGAAAAAAGACAAAAAAGGAAAAAAAAGAAAAGAAAACCTGTTTAGTAAGGATTGGAAACCCCTGGAAGAGCATCTAGCATTTCACAGACCCTCGCTCTTCACTCATTCGCTTGCTGAGCACCACTCTATGTACAGAGCGCTGAGCTAGGAACCAGATTCCGTCCTCAGGGAGCTTCTCCTTTACTGAAGGGAAGCAATATGTAGTAACAGTGTTAAAAGACCCAGGACTCCAGGGGATCTTAGGAACGTAGCTCTTCGGCCGGCCCGGTGGCGCACTGCTACAGTGTGCTGCTTGGGAGCGCGGCGGCGCTCCCGCAGAGGGTTCGGATCCCACATACAGACCGGTTCCCGCTCACTGGCTGAGCGCGGTGCGGGCGCAACACCAAGGGTTGCGATCCCGTTGCCGGTCCCCGGTATGGGCGCGACACCGAGGGTTGCGATCCCGTTACCGGTCAGTAAAAAAGACAAAAAAAGGGAAAAAAAAAAAAAAGTAATTGCACAAAAGACAACTAGGAAAGACTGACAGATTCTCGATGCAGTATCTAATAATAAAGATGAAAAATGAATTCAACATGACTGAGAAGAATAAGAGCAAAAACCACCAGGCCCTCTGTCTAAGAAATAACAAGCAAATCGAGGACCTGCAAGTTAGAATGTTAAATACTGACTACATTTTAAATCCTTTATTTTGTCTTATGATTTTTACCATTTTTACATTATGTGACCACAACATAAGTCAAATTACCTGTATAAATTAGAATTTTCTTTGCATCTATATAATTTGAGAAAGATGACTTCAGGGCTCAACAACAACACTTTCTATCCAAAGTAATGGACCTACATTAACCTTCAGAGTAAGTGTACCAAGCAATAAAGGGTCCCAAGAAGGGGTGACAGCCTGGGGCCCCCTATGCTGAGGTTGGCCTCTGTGACCACAGGAAGTTGTATTTTCTCTGAAAGGTCACTGTCCTCTCTGGGTGGTACTTGCTCTACTGTAAAAAGAGGAGGCTAGAAAAAGACCTGTCAAGTAATTGTATAAATGAATGAATGAGTGAAAATAGATCAAAAAACCCATAATCCTAGTTTCTTTTAAGAATAGTTTCTCAAAAGAAGCAATAACAAATTTGAATAAGAATTGGGAATTAGATGATATTTGAGAATTTCTGGATAATGTTGACAGGTGTGAAAATGATAACTGTGATTATATAGTAGAATGTTTCTATACTTTTTTTTTTTTTAAAGATGAGCAGTAAGGGGATCTTAACCCTTGACTTGGTGTTGTCAGCACCACGCTCACCCAGTGAGCACCTGGCCATCCCTATATGGAATCCGAACCCGTGGCCTTGGTGTTATCAGCACCACACTCTCCCGAGTGAGCCATGGGCCGGCCCTACTTTTTTTTTAATTAAAAAAAATTTTTTTTTATTGAAACATAATTGATTTACACATTTTGGGGGTTCAACATTGACATATGTTGACAAAATCAATATTATTAGCATATATATTATCACAAATCATACTTCTTCCTTAAGTCCCTTATCCAATCTCTCCCCATCCCCCTCTCCTTCCCTATTCTTTTGGAGATTGTCAATTGAAGTATTTTGAGATGAAGAAGAAGATTCTGTAATTAATTTTGAAATGATTCAGAAAAAATGAATACAGATGAACAAAGAAGGCAAAATACTAATAAATGTTGACTGGCAATAAGCATAAGGGTGAAAAGTTCATATAAATCAGAAGTCAAGCTAAAAAGAAATCTCTTCATTTTTAGAAATTTGTGAGACATTTGGGGAGGTACAGAATTCTAAGTTGCAGCATTCTGAGCTTAAACCTCAAGTGGTAAAATCTGATGATCAAAACAAAGAGGTGGGGAGGGACAATTATTCACTCAACTGAAGAATTTACCACGTTAATTCTCCTACTGCATTTTCAGTAGTATCCAGTTCACATACCAGCTATGCGGGGACATGCGCACAAGTTTTGTATGCATATCCATACATCTCTCTTGAAACATTTGGAAAAGACTGAGATTTCCACTTTGATTTTAAACAAATTACTTTCATTAAGCAATGACAAACACAGGAGAAAGTAGCAAGCATGATCAGTGAAAACTTGATCTTATTCCATTCAGTTTCTAACGAACACATCCTTACATTATTACATAAATATTATTAAAGTACTACTGTGTAAGTAAAGCAAGTTGGTGCTGATTCTGGATAGACAATATAAACACACTTTTCAAAATGAAGTTCAGAATATTTTCAATCTTGCTAAAAAGGCATTTTTCATTCACTTTCTTTCATGTAAATATTTGCCCCCTAGAAAGCTGGTCAGAAGACTCACATCCATACACCAGCAACTGGTATTTGTATGGCTACGTGAACAGTGTGTGTTATGTGTGTGTGTGGGGGGTGTGTGTGTGTGTGTGAGTGTGTGCGCGCGTATAAAAAATGCCTGAAGCAGGTGAGCTCATATTAAAGGATTAGAAAGATGTTTGTCTTTACAGAAAGATAATTATTGCAATAGAGTAGATCATACTATGTGCAGTTCTTTTTGACAGATTTCTTAGGCAAGTCATAAAACTCACATACAGACAAACCTTTGGTTGAACCTTCACAGGTATTTTGAGAATTTTTATTTTAAAGGTGCTATTATTGTAAGCAAGGTAATGGTATCTACCAAGACCAAATTATCGGCTAAAACTTAACTAAAGAATCAAAAATATTCCAAACTTTCAGCTCTCTTGCACATATGTAGGACTGAATAGTTAAGACTCATCTAGCAAGGGAACTGCTGTAAGGCCGATATCACAAAAGCATCTTTCTTTCCGCTCAATAAAGGAAAGACTCTTCCTCTTGCTCTGAGTCATGACTCCACACTGCTCCTGAGACAACAATAGCAACTGTGAAAGACATCCGTAGCTCGCAGAGGTAGACAGGAAGTCATAAATCCACTTCCCCTCATTTACAAGGTTTGTTCGATAAAGAATACAAGCCTATGTTAAAGTAGTAGCCTTTGGGTATTAAACAAAGGGATATTTATAAAGTATAAAATAGAGAAGTTAGAGCTGGTGCCAGAAAGAGATTAGGGCATATCTATTACCAAACAAGAAAAGCACCCCTTACAATGTCAAAGTGGCCTGAAAAGATCCCAAAAGAAACAAAGGGGTTTTTTTTTTTGTTTTTTTGCGAAGCTGAGCTGTTTCAAAGGAATTTTTCAGAAGTTACAGCATGGGTCCTTAAAAGTTCCTATCAAAAATAATGGTCGTATATAAAATGTACTTAGCAGGGCAAAATAGGAAATCAACATAGAATATACATGAGAGGTCACAGCAATAAATACAGTAATAATTCTTTGGTGCATCTATTAACTTTCAGTGAAAGAAAGACCAAGCTGTTTCTCAGAAGAAAAGTCACAAAGTCAACTGCACAGGAGTAGGAAACGCTCACCTGAATGTTGACAAACACGCCATGATAAGTCTCATACAGAACCTTGTTGCCTTTCACATGCAGAGGAAATTCAAAAGGAATTTCTGTTTTCCCACTGGGAAATTTCCCCGGCTTCACCATTTCTATGGTGGTGTTGATAATCTGGATAGGCTGTAACAAAAATCTCCTCAGTTCATCAGCATGCATTTGTAGGAGTCTTTTCAAATTACAGTGTCTATTAACAACCTCCTTAAAAACACAACACGCGGAGGGAGCCCTTGGATGCTACCATCCTGGTGTCTGGGGCAGCACAGGGCTGGGTCCATAGAAGAAGAGTGAGTCAGTTCCATTTTTTAAATCTCTGGCATGATAATGGTTTGTTTACAACATTAGACAGTTGGGTGCTTGATACACAGGAGGAACTGAACCAATACATCCCTCTCCTCCCCAAACATCTTATTTCGTGGTCCTAACCACTCCATCTTGGGAATGGAGAAGCACACACAGTACAGTGAAGCCGCCTGGCTAGGAGGCTGGCGTGGGGACCCAGGCTCCTGCCTACCCAGCCCCTGCTCCTGGCACTCCTCCAGCTGCCTCGAAGCCCCACCGCTGTAGCAACGGGGGAAGCAGTCCTCTCCTCCAGCCCCGTCTGTAGCCGGACCTCGGCAGCTGGACCCCCAGGAGGAAGGCAGAACTAACACGTGGAACCTGCCTAAATGGAAGATATTAATGCTTTCAAAGCTTTGGTTTGGCATCACTCTTAGAAACTCCATGACTTACAAAGTGAATCTCTAAGTACTAATGGATTAAAATAAAATAAACTGTAGAAAAACATGAGAAGCCACTAAATCTGAACATTGTTAATGCACGCTTCTTCCCTTTTAATTCATTCTCCCTCAGTTAAAGAGTTAATATGCCCTTCATGAAAAGGAAACTATACGTATAGGAAAAGGGTTTACATTCTGGAACACAGAACTCTACCCCAAATCACAAATAGAAAACAAGGGCTACTTGCTCTGTCTGCATCTTACCTTAATGTCAAATCCAACAGCATCAACACACACAGCTAATAAAATAACAGTTTTGATTTAGTAAGGCAAGTGCCATAAGCCACAGATACAACTTCTCAGAAGAGCTTTGATCTTTTTAATGGCTGAAATCAGTCTATTTATGTTCTCCTAGTCCTACTTATCAAATAAATACAAGCAGACTCTCAATAATATAGTAAGAAACAAAATATCTGCATTTTTTCCAGGTTGATGGTGAAAGTATGACTATCACCATCCCTTGCAAGACAAAAACAGATAACAATGCAGACAGACAGCAGGTGACGGTGACCATAAACATCTGAACACTGAACTAAAAATGTGCGATCTATGCTTTCTTACCTTAACAGAATTATAGAAAGCTTCAAACACACCCACACTTTTGGTACTGAGCTGGAGGTTTACAGTGCCTTCCATTGTCAAAGACACTCCCTGGTGCTGGACTGAGTCCTTACTAGATATGACCACCACACCGGAGAGCATTTCCTGGGAGAGAAAAGACAGCCACAATCAAATTAGCACATCTCTTTCATTCACCCTATTTATTAACAAAAGTAAGTCTCCTTCACAATCAATTTGTGCAGAGATTCAGACATTCATTGAGACACCTGGATGACAGGATGGAGAGGGCCCAGCCCCTGGTAATGACACAGCAGGCTGGACACACACTGATGGGGACACTCCTCACCCCATCGCTGTCATTCCAGGCTGGAGAATCCCTACTAATGTCTGCTTTCAAAGGGCAAAGAGATGGACCTGGGGCAAATGGCAGTTTCACAGAGATAGGACACATGGGCATGTGTAGTGACCCCTTCAGAAAGAATACTAGAAAATAAAACCTTTTTCTTTAGGTTCTTTCTCAACTGGGCTGACTAAAATGACTACACATCTACAAACGCATGAGTAATTTATCAGAGCTAACTGTTAGTCTGGTGTCCTTTCTGCCTTGTCCTTGCTGAGGGCGAGACTGCGAGCTATCCGTCCCAGGCGCGAGGGCAGCACACCACTTTCACTGAAGACTGTACTCTGTCCCTTGGTGTTTGGCTCACTCTGGCAGATATTTGAGCCTTGATGCCCCTGGGTTCATAAATCATTTGAGGAAGACTTCACAACTGATCATCTATTCATTTATCTGAAGATAATTACTGACTAATAGAATATGGACATTAACTACATTCTTTATCTGATAGCAGTTTCTTCCTGTCGCCATAGAACTCGATAGTCTCCATTTTTCATAGTATTTGAGTGAAAGAGGAAATTGAGGAGATTAAATAGCATCAACTAGAGCAAAAGGAGAATCGCACTACACACAAAACATGTTTCTGAAACAACCTTCAGAACCTGGCATGACTGATGGGAGAGAATTGTTGACAAGAAAATAAAACCAAAAAAGAGAAAAAGCACTGAGAAAACAGTCAATTCTTGATTAATCCTGGCAAAGGAGAACAGAAACAACTTGAACAACTGAAATAAGAAAAACCCCAGACCTCCTCAAGAACTTCCCCCTCAGACTTTTGTGCAGACTCTCAAACGAGAAGAACATAAGATTTTCGGCTCTGGACAGGACCAACAGGTCACCCAACGTAAGCAGGGGCCTTCATCAAGGGCATGGCTCCAAAGAGGGGCCCCTCAGGGACTTCGGGATAGCAACGAACACGGAAACGAGATACAGTAATCATGTGTACGTATGCTACTGTTTAGGGAGAAGAGCCATGGCTCTGTTGCATCATGAGGCCCTTGACCGGAGAAAGGTCATATCATTGGAAACACGGATGCGGGAGCGATGCAGGCCCCACATTGTACGTGTGTGGATGACACACAGGTGACAGGGTCTGGATCTTGCCCCCTTGCAGGGACTTGTACTCTTTGCCAAAGCAGCAGCACAGACACCCCCGATCCACCAGCATCAGGAAGAACCGGACTCTCTTTGAGGTGATGCATCCAGGGGAACTGCATTCCCACAGAGCCTGCTGCCAGGAAGCTCATGCCTCCAACTGGGGGGAGCTAACCTAGGGAAGGCCTGAAGCAGCCCATCTTCAACCCAGATGGACAGATCAGCCTGGGAACCACACATGACAAAGGCTGCTGGTTGCCCTTGGTCTCTCTGCTGCCTTTCTCAGCACAAACCACTACCAAGTTCCTCCAAAGAGTGCTGAAAGAGACCACACCTTCTGTCTTCTCTACATGTAAAAAGCCACTACCCAACTATACAACTTTTTTCTTTCTTTCTTTTTTTTTTTTTGGACTGGTAAGGGGATTGTAACCCTGGCTCGGTGTTGTCTGCACCACACTCAGCCAGTGAGCACACCAGCCATCCCTATATAGGATCCGAATCTGCAGCCTTGGCGCTACCAGCACCAGACTCTCGCGAGTGAGCCACAGGGCCGGCCCTATCTTTTTTGTTCTCTGAAATAAAATAGCAAAACCATAATTGGGACTCTGGGTTTGAGGATGGTGGTGTCAAGTCAGCATTGCCCTTTAGCTTCCTGGAAATCACCCAAACGAACAAGAGACAAAACCACAAACTCCATTTTCGGCGAAGCCTGGAGGCAGTTAATACCATGAAATAGGTGGAAGGGCTGCTAGAAGTGAGGATGAAGCAGGGGGACAGTAAAAAGCCAACACACGACCCCAAAGCTGTGCAGCTCAGGAAGAGCTAGCAAATATGCTTCTGGAAAGTGCGGGCACACCTGGGAGCAGCTAAGGCAGCTCCTGATGAGGACCCCTAGGATATGCCCATGCCGGGAGCGGTGGGTCTCGGTGGTAGAGGAGGCAGTGAGCCCCTCTGCACTGTGATGGGTCAAAAGGAAGTAAAGGTTAAAGGATCACATACACACCTGGTCTAGGCATAAGTTCACCTCCTCCAAGGAGACCAGCAGAGGAGCATTTGACATATGACCGGTTAAAAAAATAAGGCAGGGAGAGAGGGGAGAGGAGACAAATCCAAGAGTAAGATGATGAATACAGATAAGAAAGATCCTGTCACTCCTCTACTCACCAGAACTCTAGCAGCTCCACACCTTACTCAGCCCTTCTCCCTTACCTGTCTGACCTCATGTCAGTCACTCTGCTCCCCACAGCCATTCCTCTAAGGCACTTGCATGCTCCAGCCCCAGGCATGTGCACGCGCTCTCCCTGCCACCTGGAGGCCCTTCCTCACATACTTATGTGGCTCACTCCAGAGCCTCCATCGAGTCACTGCTCAGAGGACAACATTTTAGTGAGGCCTGCCCTGATAGAAATATATCATCAAAACCATACTTTTTCAATATGGTGGCCATGAGCCACATGTGGCTATTTAAACTGAAATTTATATTAATTAGTATTTAAAAGTCAGGTCCTCCTATTTCTGGTACTTAATAGCCACAGCATGGCTAGTGGCTATCATAGTGGACACTGCGGATAAATAGTACCATTCAAATCATCACAGAGAGTTCTATTGGACAATGCTAATTTACAGTTAATAAGTCAAATAATAAAGTACAAATAAACTTAACAGAAGTCAACATCAATAAAAATAATATTCGTAAATACGATCAAGTGGTAGAAGAGAATAAAGAAGGAAAGAAGAAGAAATATACAAATTTATCATTGTCCATAGTAGGAAATTAGTAAATAATGTCTAAAACATAGAAGATTTAGGGTGTAATAGAAAGTTGTAAGGGTAACAATTAGAAAAAAAAAAAGTCCAAATAACTAGATAATCATACAAACAACCTAAAGCAAAGTAAACAGAGTATAAAAAGATATCTTAAAGGCTACTTAAAAAATACTCCCCCAACAAAGCAGCAATGACAGAATTAATGCCAAACATATGTCAAATTAATTAATAGCTAAATTAATGTCTACTTAAAAACAGACATTCATATTATATTACAAAGCAAACCCAATTTTATGTTGAATGACAGACAGACACCTACAATGGCAGGGGTGAAGGGTGAATTTGGGAGGATAAAGAAGAAAAGATAAGCAGAGGTATAGAAAACAAACACAAATAAATAAATCATGAGTTATGATCTTAATATCAGACAAAACTGAGTTCAGAGAATGAAGTATTAAACAAGAAAGGGTACTGTACAAGTCTGAAGGGTGCAACTCACAGTAAAGACATGAGGTGTTGTTACCTGTGGATCAAGTAACATAGCATCAACACGCAGAAAAGAAAAACTACAGGGATACAGGGAGAAATTGAGTAAAACACATCCGTTGTAAGAGACGCTAATTCACTCTTCTCAGATCATGACCAATAAAGTAGACAAAAAGAAGCAAGGATATAGAAGACCTAAGTTACATATCAGTAAAGAATAACTAATTGGCATATGTAGAACTCTATGTCCTGAAAACACAAAACATACTCTTCAATGTCCATGGTATATTCATAAAAATTAGCCAAACTGGCCCCTAAATAAATCCAACAGATTTTTCTTTTGGGGAGGGTGGGGAAAGCAAAGCAAATCATTAACTAACTACTCTAATAAAGAAAAAAGAGAAAAGCCAACACAAGTATCCAAAATAAGAAATGAGGGAAATACCAGAGACATACAAGTAGAGGTAATGAAAAGCATGGTAAGAGAACACATTGTTCAATTGTACGTAGGCAAATTTTAAAAGCTGACAAGGTGAGTTATTTTTCTAGGAAAATATAATTTATCCAAAATAACGCCAAAGGAGACATGAAATCTAAGCAAATCAATCACCATAGAAAAACAGACTAAGTTACAAATAAGCTCCCCCAAAAGCACCAGGCCCAGATAGTTTCATAAGAGATCATGCCCAAATGTGTAAAGAACAGAAATTTCCAATGTAGAACTATTTCAAAGCAAAGAACTTCAATCAATCAATCAATCAATAAGTAAATAAAGCAAACATAACAAAGACAGCAAAGCAAGAAAAATCTATACACACATATACAGAGAGAGAGAGATAACTAGACTATTCTCACTTATAAATACCAATGTAAAGTTCTAAATAAAATATTAGCAAATACAATCCAGTAGCAACTTAAAAGAATATTACACCAAAACCAAGTGGGATTTAGTCTAGGAATGTTAAGTAGAGTTCAATATTGAGGAAAACTGTCAATACAATTCACTACATTAATAGTTCTCAAGAGAAAAATCATATAGTCATATCCATAGATGCTAAAAAGGCACTTGATAAAATATTCATTCTTGATACAATTTTTAGTAAAATGAGAATAGAAAGATACTTCCTTAAAATGACAAAATGTATCTACCTTACCCAAAAGCCAGCATCAAACTTAATGGGAAAACAAGATACAATCCATTTTAAGTCAGGGATAAAACAGTGATGCCCACTATCACCACTATTAATGTACTGCAAGTACTAGTTAATGCAACAAAACTAAAATAAAAACATAAATATGAAATTCAAAAGGAGGAGGTAAAATGATCATTATTTGAAGATGATATAAATGTATACCTGAAAGAATCCTAGAGAATCCACTGAAAAACTACTATCAACAT